TACCGGCCGTCCAGGGATCCCCATGGCGCCTTTGTCCCCCTGGCAAGCAATGCAAAACCAGATGCAATTGGAAACTGGTCGAATGCAAGGTTGCAAAGTAACGCAGAGGGGTCGCGCCACCGACGCAGCTGCGCGCGCCACCCCCTACGCGTCCCGGCGTTTTGAGAGAGGGGAAAAAGCACGAGAGGGGAGGTCAAGATATGCTCGCCTGTGCTTCGAGCACGCGCATGAGGTGTGCAAGCCACCGGTTCGCTCGTGCGGGTGAAGAACCAACACACCTCATGACAGAAATGACATACATTGCATTAGGCAGGGAAAAAGACGGGCAAGAGCTTTCCGCCTAACTAAACCTAATCCCGATTTCCAAGGCTTTGTAAAAGCCGGTTTTCCTCGTTCCTGCAGCTCTCCGTCGCGTCCGAGCCCGACTCGGGGAGGCGTCTCCAGCGCAGGCGGGTCAGAAGCTGGTGCTGCTGGTCCTTCGTGCATCATCCTGCCCGCTCCCCCCCCAGACCGCAAAAAAAGACCTTTCACCCCCCCGCCAAAAAAAAGCCTATATGCACGGGGCGTTAAATCCCAGGAAGGGGCAAAGTCTTCCTTGCTGCCCGGCGGGTGCCCTGAAGCCCCTCCGTTTCGCGGGGTGTACGCAGAGGTCCCCTCAGACGCGCAGCCTGAACCCGCGTCGCCGTGGCCCGCCGAGCAGCGGGGCCGTTTGCTGTTCGGGGCGCTTCCTGCCGTCGCCGCGCGGCGAAAAGCAATCTCTGCTTTGCAAGAGCTCCCTTGCAGAGGAACGAAACGCTAAGCAGCTGCTTAGCTTTACTTTTTTGCAGCTGATGCATCACGAGAAACTGCTTTTTTCCTAGGTTTCTAGACGGGTCCCCAGTCCCTCCGACATTCGCCATCTGCGTGACGCCCATCATCGGCATAACGTCGGCGAGCACAACGCCCCGTTTTCTTACGCTTTCAATGCCTGGCCGGTTGCTCTCCTCCAGGGCCGAGTTCAGGCCGAGGTCCCTCGAGGGCTGCGGGAAAAGCGGATTTTCCTTCTCCCGGCTGCGTTGTGGCTGGCAAGAGGCTGGGACCAGCGAGTACCTGCTGCCGCAGCGGGACGCGACGGCGCCGTGCCCCCCTCCCCACCCTGGAGGCCTATCCGGTCAACTCCGCCGGAGCCGCAGGGGACGAAACAGGAAAGACGAAGTATTTACCGGGAGCCCTGGTCTTCCTGTAGGGCCCCTGCAACAAGAGTACGCAGAAAAAGCGAGAGTTTGCTTAAAAATCTGAAGGGAAGGCTGCACAAAGAGAAGAAATCACATGTAAGCAATTAGGAAACAGAGCGGTGAAAAATCGCTGGACGGCTCCCGGACCATCGGCTCCGATTGCTTCAGTTTCCTCATCTCCCGTCCGTGGCGTTTTCCCTCCTTTCGGCACAGGTCTCTCCCACAGCTCTCCGCACTGCCTCTGCAGGTATCGGGAAGTCCATGGAGAAATAGCTAATTACGGGGCTCTGACTTTCTTCCTGAGTATCCATCTGCTTAATATTAATTTTTCACGTATGGAATTGCTGCAGTTGCCACAGAAATGTTGCACGCTCAGAAACGGGGGGAAAAAACGCCCGCAAGAGGATCTTTTCCTTAGGATGTGGTCCAGACAGCAAAAGAGTTGGGGAACCTCAGGTCTCCTGCACGATTTCATCACTTCCTTGCTCCCTTTGCCTCTTCAAAGCCCAAACTCGCCAAATTTCGCCCGTGGCTGCAGGTTGCCCTCGTCTTCACCAAAGCCCCCGCCGGCATCAAGGACAAACGACGTGGGGCTGCCGGCGCCGCGGCGGTGCTCTCTGGGAGGACGTAGACGCATGAGGAGCAGCCAGGCAGCCTGTTGCTCATAGACTTGAGTTTTCACCCGGTTTTAATCAGGAGAAATACGTGGGAAAACATCTTCCCTATGGCGACATCACGGACCGCGCTTGACTCTTGGGCGGTGAACTTTTGCTGGTGATGACTGAGCCGGCATCACCTGGCAATCACTCGGAAAGCCCGGAGGTCCCCGACGAGGCTGGGGCGCTCTGAGCTCAAGGCAAATTCCGCCTTGGTTAACGACGTTCAGCCTGCCCCGTTTCCTCTTGTTACTTCAGTCGGCTAAGGCGTTCCTCCCACCCCCGTCCTCAAAGCCTGCGTGCGGAGGCAGGTTCGGGGGGCGCAACGAGCCGGGACCCGGTAGCGTGCATCGTCGGCGCTTCCCTGGTGGTCCCGTTTGTTTCTGCCAGACTTCAATCTCTCGTTACAATATTAAGTTTCCCACGCCTCCTGCAGCAAGGGAAGCCCGGGCGTGCGTCTTCCTCGCCCTGCAAAGACGCACGGAGAAGCTTGCCCTGAGCTGCTCCTCTTCCTTGCTCTCTCCCTTGGCGCGGCAGTCGTCCAAATGCCAACGCTGCTACCCAAAGCCAGAGCGCGTTTTGAGACGCCTGCGCTTCGCGGGCCGGTCCCGCCAGACAAACTAGCACCGAAGGCTCGCACGCGTCTGCGCTTAGCGCTGTGAAGACCCTTCGGGCCGGAAGGCGCAACTTTTTGCGAGATTGCTGTCGTTAAACCGGGCTGCGCTCGTACGTCTGTGCGAGTTCATCCTGCAGCGTTTCAACCCGATGAAAGGGAAAAATAGGTGGTGTAGCAACTAGCGCTCCTCAAAACGTCATCTGCAAACCGTTTAAGACGTGTCTGTGTGAACAGACACAAGATGACTACCGTATGTTTAACTTCTCACGTTCCTTCACGGAAAGCCAGTATAGTTGCTCTATTGTAAACGAATATAAACCGTTTCCTCTGGAAGGATCACGCTCGAGACAATACAGCGTTTCTTTATAATCCGGAGAGATACTGATACGTTGCCTCACTCCTTGCATCGCCTTTTCTGATTCACTGCGGGTCTCCTAATAGCTGTAAGAAAACTTCTGCAATAACCTGGGTGCTTTCCTGAAGCCTGGATCGTCTGCCCTGGGGCTTTGCACTAGCGAACGCTTGAAACGGAAGCCGTCCGCGCGGTTTCTCTCTGAAGCTGCTGACTGCATAGCGAGGCTCGAAGGCGCAACAGTTGAGCAAAGCTGGCTGCGGAGCAGGGAGCAAGTTCCTGCCGCTCCGCTCGCGCCACGCGTTGGCCATCCAGCTTTCCCCTTTCCACAAGCGGGGCGACACCGGCCGCCGCACGCGGGAGGCTTTGCTAGCCCGGGCCCCGCAACCACAGGAGCGGAGTTTGTAAACACCGTGGAGCTTTGGTACTTACAGGCGGACCTGCAAGAAAGAAGAAAAATAAACCATCGTTAGTGTTTCGAACGCAGCGAATCCTGACGAGAAGGGCTAGATAGACGCGCTGTACCACCTTTTTGGGCTGACCTTGGTCTTGCTCCCATTCACCCCCCAAGTACCGCTCCTGCACTCAGTGGATTCGCTCAGCAAAGAGGAATTGATCCAGAGGGGACAGAGAGGGACTCCTGCGGCAAGCGGAAAACGCTCTGGGCACACACGTTTAGGTGGGATTTCCAGCTTATTAGGAACACGACCTCGACCCTTACACAAGTTACTCACGATGACCCCACGGCTCTTGAAGGTGGGGCCGTCTCCTGCTCAGAGCCTAAATGCACATACCGGTTGCTGGCAGCATCCTCTTTTAGTGAATTTTGTGTCTTCCTAAGCAGCACCTTGACCTGCACCTCCACTAAGTCCATTAAAATCCAAGACAGCAGCAAATGCCACCCCAGAGCGCCTGCTCGGGGTGCCCCAGGTTGGTCCCTCGCCTTTCCTCACTACCCCTGCTAAACACCTTTGACAAGAATTTGCTCTCTCTCAACCTACAGAAGCCATAGGGAAAGCTGGTCCCTTTCCTTACCGTCTGAGATAAAGGAGCAAGACCACGTGTCAAGAAAGAACTGCCATATCATATTCAGTGAGGCTATTTTTGCTTAGGAAGGCTAACTACATAGGACGTAGCCTTCCTACGTGAGGTGGGAAAATCTCTGGAAAACGCTCATTGCATGTTATGTCACCGTAGAGCAAAGATCCCGACGGGAGACATCACCAGGCTGGGAGAATGGGATTTTGGTAACTGGGAAATAAGATGTCCTGCCACGTCTGGCGGAGGATCAGGGAAGCAGCCCGTCGCTATCCCCTCAAAATGGGAATCCCAAGTTTGGGAACACCAAACAGCCAGGCTGCATGGGATGGGGATGAGGGACACCCACAGGGGAGAGGCAGCAGGCACCGCTCGGTTTGGGACAGAGGCAGTTGTGGAAGATAAACCATCCACCTAATCAGAGACAGATGCTGCACCGCGCGAGAGCATTAAAGGGAATAGTTTCCCCTTGGCCCCTGGGGGGACGGGGACTTTTTCACCTAATGCACCCGCTGACCTTAAAAACCATAACTCAGGCAGGGAAGGGAGAAACCCTCCTCCCCCTCACGCACAGTCTAACATGAGCTTGCTTAGCCAAAATAGCCTCCCAAGTGCTTTTTCGCCTTCCTCCCAGAGGACCGCAGCGTAGCACATCAGGGCAGGCAAAGCTGGATATTACCACCCCCCGCCCCAAAAAGCAAAGCCCGAGGCGAAGGAAGAGCAAGCACGATTGCCTGCGGGAGACGCCCCGGGGTCAGGTCCCTGCACGCAAGACCCCGAGCACGAGGGGACTCGTCATCTGCGTAATCCCCCCTCCACTCACGTCCCACCGGCCCCTCGGGATCCAGAAAGCGTCGGCTGAATTCGGGGAGGCGAGAGCCCCTTAACTACTGAAATAACAACACGCTGGTCACGAGCACAGGCAAACTCGTGGAAGGGGGGCAAAGGCATGGAAAGGTCAGTGAGGACATTTATGCGGTAGGTGCCTTTTCTCGCTAGACTGCGCTAATTTTTCCTTTTGCTTCTGCCAATCTACCTTCTGGGAAGAGATTCCCTTAAAGATTTTTGGTTTTTTAAGAAAACCTTTGGAAGCTGCCGGTGTGGAGAACTGCATCTTCTTCATACAGAAACGCTGCGTAGTACATATCAGGGCTTAAGCAACACGTTTCTTTCATCAGTTCCCCAAAATTTCCTCAAAATCCTGACGGATGCTGTGTGTGGAAAGAAACCCCTGGACTCACTATTTTGTGGTTTCCTCTCTGCGGGAGAAGCGAGACACACAATACAACTGTCAAGGGTTTCTACATTTTCCATACTTTCTAGACACTTTTCATTATTATTTTCACAGCAAGTGCCAAGAAGCAAGACTAAGCAGTGTAACAGGCAAGCTGACAGATAACAGGCAGCAACCTCCTCTTTGCATGGCAGGCAGATACCAAGGTGAGCACCTGCAGAACACGTCGTCATCCTCAGAAACATCCCTGGCTGAAAGTCCATAAAAGAAACTGGAGACTTTGGATGAGCAAACATTTTCCACCTTGCAAATCTCTCACTCAGCATGACTCCTTTGTAACAGGGGATAAGGCAAATGGCTTGGTTGTCGAGCTTTGAGGACCTAAAATCGCACCATCAAATGCCATTCTTGCCCTTTTTCTCAGTTTTCAACACGGTTGCTCAAAAAGGGGTACCTTTCAACTAAAATCCAGAAAAAAGGAAAAGATGAGCACCTTGATGGTGACCACCTCCCCCAGGAAACTCAACAGTTCAAGCAAACATCACCACCCAGAGCTACGACACGAGTTTGGTGGGAGCCAGGCCGGTCAGAGGAACAACCCCTCGTCACCGGCGCTGGCACAGAGGTCGCTCCCCTGGACAGCGTGCCAAGGTAAAACAAGAAAAGACCTTTTGATCAGACAGTTCATTCTGGAGGGCAAGGTCAGACTCAGATTCAGGAATCCTAATTTATGCCAGTTTAGGAGGAAAAAGAACTTTCTCAGTCTGGCTTAGATGACAACAAAGTTTTGTGAGAGAACTGTTTTTGGAGAGATTTTGTTTCCGAATGAGCACCCCGTCACAAGGCCAGTGCTTGGAGCTTTCCAATATACCGACTTTACACCCATTAGCAATGCCACAGACCCACACAGCCCTTCCCTTAATAATCCACCACCTGTCTGCAAGGCATCGGCGTGCTCACGGCTTGCACGAACCAAACCATTTAAATTTTTCTTTCAGCTTTAGCTAAAGACAAGCAAGCCCTGAGCTATCCCTGCCTTTCCGCACCAGATGTGACCAGACAGCAGCACAGCCTGGAACGACATTGCAATACTGCTGAAAGAAAACAAGCCTGCGTCTGCCGCAGAAGCTAAAGTACGTCCAGAGGAACTGAGTAAACCCAGCGATGCCTGCAGCTCTGGGGCCATTAGGCTGCGCACCACAAGCAGATCAAAGGCAGGACACGTATCGGAGGCTCATCTTTGTTATATGCCCCCTATAAAATTAATGGTGATGTGAAGAGGGGGCTGCACAGTCACATGTAAACACACACACATTAGTGAGCTGCACGTTCTTGCAGGGACACGGTCTTGGCTGCAATAACTCTCCTGGTAGGGACCATCTGGGGGCTGGGCTTCAAATGCCGGGACCATTAGCACAACCTGGGAGAGAGCTAAGTCCTCAGATGCAGTCACTTTTAATAAAAACGTCCTCTCATGCTGGCTGGAGAAGGAGGAAGGAAAATGTCCCCGAGGCCAGCGAGGCGGGAGGAGGTGCCACTGGATGAGCTGCTGCAAAGCGCTGGGGATTTTACACAGTGAAATAATGCTTCAGCAAAGTGGATTTGTCATGTTCTGTCACGGTGATTAACGAGAAGGCCGAGCAGAGCTTCTAAAGAGGCTCAGTCTTTAATATAACAACGAGTAATTTAACGCACATTAGAGAAAAGAGGCAGCGAGGGAGGGAGGAGATCCTTGCATCTCCCTCTCATCCGCTCTGGCCACCAGCAACCGGGTTCAACCAGACTCTCCCAGGCAGCTTGGGCCGGGGCCTCCCGGAGAGGCACTTACTGTACTGACAGCGGGGACTTCGCTGGGGACGCTGTGTGGCTTCCTGGCTAAAAATTATTAAGAAAACCTTCAGTACAGTGAAGGTCTCACCACGGCTGTTTTTTTAAGCTCGATGCCCCCTTGGCAGCTAGATGAGAAGAGCACCGGGCTGTCCGCAGTGCATCAGGCTTGTCCCCATCCATCTACTGCCTCGGGACAGGGGTCTGGGAAAGCCATTCCCGTCTAGCAAGAGATGCGGACGGCCCCGTAAACCAAGGGAACAGACAGGGCCTCTCCTTGCAGCGCTTCCTGAGGAGGGCATGACCTACAAGTTCAAAGCAAGAGTCTCTTAAGGGGTTGTCCATCTGGACGAAGCTCTGCGGCGCCCCACAGATTGGCCACGCCGGTGCACAGCGGCACTCTTGCAAGGCAATCGAGTTGCGTGGGGCCTGGCAAACGCCCTTCGAGAAATCAAGGGGAACTGGGGAAGAGGCCCAGTAATGCTGCTGAAGGTCCCCTCAGCATTCCCAGGGGCCACCAGGGCAGCAGCACAGAAAAAGACCCGATTGCCCCCAGATGGGCCAGGTCTAGCTGGTGGCAGACCCTGAAGAGCTCCACAAACAACCCAGTACATGCTCCAAATGAAAACCTCCACAGCTACAAGCTCAAAGCACACCTATGGGGGTTCCCCATCTCCTGTTTGTACAGTTGTCTTTTTAGGGGTGAGATGGAGGCCGTGCTTTTCAGGAGATGATGTAGATGCCGTTTCCATAAAGGGTCAACAAAGAAGGGGCAAAGGGTCCACAGAGCAGGGACAAACGTTGTGGCGAGCGGTTCCCTGAAGCCCAGCCAGCGGATAGACCCAGAGCTCCTAAATCACCTAATTCCTCGGCCATCACATCTGCAGGCCGAGGAGCCTACGTTTGCTGTTAACCTCTCCAAGTCCTTCGCACTCTGAGCCCAGCCCTGCTTCGCCTGAGACAGAGGCGATGCCTGTGCTCGTAGGCAGGCTGATCCCCGGCCCCAGCGCCCCGGTGATGGGCTGCTCAGGAAGCGTCTCTCCATGTCGGCTCCCTCCCGCTGAAAGACGCTGGAGGGCCCTAAGCGATTGTTATCGCTGTTTATCCAGCTGCGGAGCGCGTCGAGCAGCGGGGGACAGAAGAGGGAATGGAGTAAACGCGTCGGGAGCGGAGGAGGGGGAGGCAGCAGCAATCTCCTGCAAAGGGGAGACCCCTCCAGAGCACGTCTGGAAACGAGCATCAAGAAAGCCAAGAATATTTGTGGGGGTTCTCGGGGTCCCGCCAAACAAACGGGATCTGTAAACTACCGTCTGCACTGCCCCTTCTCAGCTGCTCTGTTTT